ACTTGAATAGAAATCCCCTTAAAAATTGTACTTACACAGTACACTGATTGTGTGTATATCTGTACCTTCAAGTTGCTTGTCAACCCAAGTTGCTTGTGACCCATGAATTTCATAAGGTTTTCTTAAGCAAGGAGGTGGTCTTATTACTTCCTCTAAAACATAACCTATGGCACCTGGTATTTGTTGATGCTTTCCTATCCAGGTACTAACCAGGGCTGACCCTGCTTAGCTTCTGAGATCAGATGGGTTCTGGTGCCTTTAGGGTATTTAGGCAGTATATTGATCCAAGTGTGGTGGAAGTTTTTAAACAGAGGTTGGATGGCCATCTGTTGGGAGTGCTTTGATTGTACATTCCTGCATGGTAGGGGGTTGGATTTGCTGGCCCTTTTAGGTCTCTTCTAACTCTATGATTACATAGAATCATAGTATTACAGAGTTGGAAGAAACCACAAGGGTCATTCAGTCCAACCCCTGCTATGCAGGAACTCCCAATCAAAGCATACCTGACAGATGGCTATCCAGCGTCTGTTTAAAGACCTCCAAAGAAGGAGACTCCATCACACACATGATTAGCAGCAGTGAGGAACCTGTGGTCTTCTCTTGTTGCTAGATTACAAGTTTCAATATTCCTGGCCACTGACCACACTCGGGAGTCTAATGCAAGTTCTAAATGAAATGAAATGAACAACTGGAAAGCCACAGGTTGTCCACCTATACCAAGCCCACATGTGGACATTCAAAGAATGACTCTTATTATATAATCAGAGGGGCCAGCGGGATTATTCCAGACAGACTACAAGCAGGGCATCAGATGGGCACTACCCAATCAGCTCAGGAACAGATTAGCAGAGAAGTGGTTCTAAACACAGAAAGGAGAGTTGTGACTGGTGAATCTCATGTCAAGGGGATAGTGAATCCACTCAAGCCTTTGGATAGATTTAAAGGAACTATCCAAGTTAGGATTCTTGGACAACTTCTTTAAAGCCCTGATCAAAACCTAGACTGGATTTACTGTCCTATTGACATGAGAGTCACCAGCGCCTGCTGAGAAAGGCCCAGCTTCAATTCTTGGCAAATTTTCAGGACAAGAAAAAGGATCTGTTCAAACGACTGGGGAACAACTCCCATCCAGAGACCATAGCACTGAGCTGCACATGGAACAAGTGAAGCTGCCTTAAACAAGGTCAAACTATTAGTTCAGGAGTGGGCAAAATGAAACACTGGGGCCACATGTGGTCCCAAGTTATTTTTGTAGCCCTAGCCAGCCCTTTTCGTAGCCCATTAATAGAAGGGCTGAAGCCATAGGAAAAGGCAATTCTGCTTTTAAACATACCACTTTAAAAGAAAGTGAACTAGGTTTTTGTGGGTTTTTCTGACTGTGAGGCCGTGTTCTAGAAGAATGTATTCCTACCAGAAAGGAATACATTCTTCTAGAACACAGCCTCACAACCTGAAAACCCAGAAAAACCTATGGATGCCGGCCGTGAAAGCCTTCAACTTCAAAATGAAGTAGATTTCTGTGGGTGTTTTCTTTGTTCCCCTTCCTTCTTTCCTCCCTCCACCACTCCCTCTTTATGGTTGAACTTTTGGTAGTCTGTATGATCCCTTAAATGTCCCAGGGAAAGAAAGTGGCAACTGCCCTCCTCCCTTGCTTTTAGTTCATCTCTCAAGCTGCTGTATCTCCACTGACTGGCAGTGGTTCTCCTGGCAGTGGTTCTCCAGTTCTATAGAGAGATGTCAAGAATGAACCTGAAAGCATCTCAGTGACTGCTATGGAGTGCAAAACATTTTTCCTGCCTCGAAGTCAAGGCCCTTCTCCTTCCTGGGTCACAAAAACTTGGTAGTTTCACCCTGAACTTGTCCATAGCTACCACAAAAAAGAGGTAGAACTTGGAAAAGTTATTTGAGGGGATAACTGCTCTCACAATCCCCCAGTCAGTATGACCGTACAGAAACATTTTTGAAATAAGACGCTAGCCCATGTTTGTGAGAAAGGAGCCCTTTGCAAGCATCTAATAAATTGAGTTTGCCAACAATATCCTCCCTTCTCTTACTCTTACTTACCTGTAACCCCATTTTTTCTGGAATCAGGTCTTTTGTTCAGCATTGTGCCTGCTACTGACTCCATGGTATCCAAATCTGAAATATGGAGGAACAGATGGTCTCAACCTACAATATGACAGCTCATATTTACAGTAGAGCAATGAACATGTAGTGAGTTAGAAAAAGGAAAGTTTGAGTGACAAGTTCATCTGCAAAACCATTGAAGGACTGTGATGGAATGCTGAAATGAAATAGGCTTGGATGTTCCTTATGCGCTTTCCAAATGTCAAACTTTTTGGAGTGTCAGCCTAGAAAAAGTATGTTGTTTCCAAGGAAACCAAGCAAATCTGAACTGAAAAATGAAGCAAAATGGCATTCCTTATTTAAAAATTTATTTATTTGTTTGTTTGTTTGTTTAATTTCTATCACACCTTTCTGTTAGTACAGGAACCATTTTTTATTTTTTAAAATAAAATTTAATACAAAAATAAAAAGAATACAAATTAGCCACCTTGGATCCCATCCCAAGAGAAAGGCAAGGACGGATCATTTCCTGGTCAAGACTGAACTAAGAACCACTGTCCGCCCACCAGGGATGGCGGACCCATTAGAATGGTCTGCCCTCAAAGGCTAATGGAACCAACTGGATTCCAGAAAGCCTTGGAGGGTTTAATGGTTGGTAATGCTGGTGATTCTGTTGACTCTTTGGTTAATACCTGGAACACCGACCTTACCAAGACCATCGACACGATCGCTCCCAAGCGTCCTTTCCAACCCGCTTTAAACCGTAAGCCATGGTATACAGAAGAGCTTAGGAAAATGAAGCGGCTTGGACAACGACTAGAGCGCACCTGGCAGAAAACTCAACTCTTATCTGACAACACTCGTCATAAGAACTTAGATCCGTTGCTTCAGATGACTAATCAGGTAAATGCGACGGTCAGGAGCGCCTGTTATCAGCTTCAGGTGATACGCCAGTTGTGCCCTTTCCCGGAAGTAAGGGACCTTGAAACGGTGGTGCACACACTGGTAACCTCTTGTCTGGACTTCTGTAATGCGCTCTACATGGGGCTACCCTCATATCCGTCTGATCACGACCTTAAGCAGCTTTAAAAAGGCTGTTAAGACGGATCTCTTCAGGCAGGCCTTTCCTTACTACTATTCTATCTGTCTCTCTTTGTTTTGTTTTAGTGAGTTGAGTTATTTATGA